AGTTTGGACATAGTGTTCCCCCCTCCACCCCACCCTCAGGTTGGGGGGAAACTGCACACCCGATGATGCTCAGGGCTTTCTCCTGTGTCAGCACTCAGGGATCACCCCTGGTGAGGTTTGGGGGACCCTTTGTTGTGCCAGGGATTAAACCCAGAATAGCCACATGCAAGGCAAGAGTCTTACCTGCTGTACTGTCTCTGGCCCCTGGACATCAGCTTTTTAAACCTACTGTTTCCCTCTTCTAGGAAAATAGGAAAACGAAAAGCAAAATGTTTCTAATGTTGTACTGATTGAGTTATTCTTCCTGCTCAACTTAGAAATTGTATATGGTTTTTGTTTTGGTGTAACCCACTGAGGATGATGAATGGGATTTCTGTTTCCTATTTGGCCTGGAAGACTTTCCAAAAGACGACTTTATAATGATGATGAACTAGGTGAAAACAGTGTGATGTGTGTGGGTGTATAAAAAAATAAATTCATTATGGTAGTATTGAAAGAGGAAGCTAATCTGTGTTGTCAGCTTAGGCCACTGCTAACTCGAGTCATTTCTTGACAGCTGAAACCATTTCTCAGAAAACATACCCTGGGGGTGGGAGGTGAAGGAAATCTTCATCGCAAGTTTACTTAGTTCTTATGGTTAATAAACCACAGTTCTATTTAGGTATTGCATTTCTTCATTCAACCAGCGATGAGAAGAGAAGATTATGCCTTATGGGGGGGGGTGGTAATTCTCTATAGTTCTGCTATTGGTGTTAGTAGATGTTGAGAAAAAAGATTTCCTGTGAAGTGTGAGTTGTTAGTCTTATAGTATCTCATGCAATATAAGTTGAACTTTTAAAATTTTTACCTTTGTCAGATCCTTTAAAAGATAGTGAAGAGGAAGATAATCTAATACTTAGACTGATAGAGTACTGTGGCCTTTGGATTTACATATAGCCTGAAGACTTGGGTCTCTGTCATTTTGATGATCACAGGTTCCTGTGCAGAATAAACTGGAGGCAAGAGAGAGCCCTTTCTTTTCTTTTTCTGTAACTCTGAAGTCAAAAGTTTGATTTGAAACGGTCAGTTCACAGTTATTGGACTGACTGATGTTTGTAGGGCAGGAGTTTGGTCCCCAGGTTGTAAAAGGACTTGTCCACTCTCACAGGTATTTTATTTATTTGTTTATTTATTTATTTGAATCACCATAAATTAGAAATTTATGATTGAGTTTCAGGCAACACCAGTATCCTTACCAGTATCCACTTTACTCTACCAGTGCCCCCAATTTCCCCCCTGCTCCCCCAGCCTACCTCTATAGCTTTTTTCTTTTTCTGTTTTCCTCCACCCACACCTGTGTCCTCTTTTCCTTTTAGGCACTTTGGTTTACAATGCTGTTTCCAATCAAGTATCATGCATATAGCACCCAGTCCCAGTGTGACCACTGCTTCCCTCTGTCATTCTCATAGTGTTCCCATCGCTGGCTTATCCGTACCATTCCCCTATCCCAGCCCAACCCCCACCGGTGGCAAGCTTCCTGTTAATGGCCAGTTCTGCTCTTCATTTCTATTGCCTTTGGACATTAGTTATTCCTCTACTATCACAGATAATTAATTTGCTTTTGAGGTCATATCCAGCAATGCTCGGGGTTACTCCTGGCTTGCACTCAGGAATTACTCCTGGCGGTGCTCGGGGACCATATGGGATGCGGGGGATTGAACCCAGCTCACCCTTGTGCAAGGCAAACACCCTTCCCACTCTGCTATTGCTCTGGCACTATTACAGATATTTAAAACCATACGTTGGATCTTGATTCATGTAATAAGGAAAGACACAGTCCCTCTATGTGGTATTTTGTTTTTGGTTTCTTTTTGGGGCCACACCCCGCAATGCTCTGGGGACCTGGCTCTACACTCAGGAATTAAACCTGACAGTGCCCAGGGAACTATATGGAATGCCGAAGTTTGAACCCGGGTTGGCCATGTGCAAGGCAAATACCCACCCTACTGGCTGAATTATTGCTTTGACCCCACAGTTTCTCATAAATAGTCTTTGATAGTTTCACTTCCTGAAATGTGTACAGTTTTAAAATGTTTCATTTAATACCTGAAATTTTTTTCTTTATTCAGGTTTCCTTCTGACTTAGCAAGTGATGGACACTTTTATTTATTTTATAATTTGAATGGGGTCTCCCTGTGCTTGGCCATCTGGTGTGGGTTCTGTCAAACTCAGGTTTTCAAACAGGCAAATATGCTCCACCTCCTCTCAGTTATCACCTTGACATAATTTTTAAGAAGGATTTAATCCCTTATCAATTATCACCTTGATGTAATTTTTAAGAAGGATTTATTTCCTGTTCTGTGTTATATACTGATATTTTTTCCCCTCTTGGAATGTAGCTCAGTTCCACTGACCTCAAGAGTGCAAGGCAGGTGCTCTGCCACTGAGCTCCACCAATACACCTTTTAATTTTTCTTAATAAAACAGAACAGATAAAATAAACATGATATAGATGTTTGAGAGTTTTTTTTTAATCTGTCTTGAGAAAATAAAAGTTCAGCTAACATTTGTAGCTAATTCTGAAGACGTATAGTTTCCCATAACTGCCTTTTTGATTTGAGCAAAATAAAAACTTCTTCCCTAAGAAAAATTCGGTGTTATTTTGCTTTTACTGACTTTTTGTAAATAAATGTCATCTGGGAACCAGGGCCACTTGTCAGGGCCAGGCCTTATGTCCTATATCCTTTTGGTGTAGGACACAACTTCAGATAATGGATCTGTCCTTTTGTTCGTGTATGGAGCATTTTAATGTACTGAAGTGACACCCGTGTTAATTTTCAGGGTGGGAGAGAATGGCAGCAGTTTCTGAATCAGATACCTGAGGATAGAACATCAAATACCAGGACCAGCGCAGCAGTGATGACAGCTTCCTAGGCCACAACTGGTGATTCTTAGGAGGCCATGTGATGCTGGGGATCAAACCTGGGTCCAGCACATTTAAGGCACACACCATAACCACTGGCCTATTCTCCTAGCCTTGTTTCAAATACCGTAAGAACAAAGGGTCTTCCTGCTGAAGGTCTCTCTCTTAGGCTTGGTTCTTCCCTAGCTGTAAAAGACTCAGGAATGGTGGGCAACAGAGCAGTTGAGGTCCCTAAACAGTTTTTATGGATCTGGTTTTTATGGATTACTTTTTGTGGCCGAACTGCTGTTTTTAGTTGTGCAACAGATATGATTAACCTCGGGTTTGTGTTCTTTCTTGTAATTACAATGTGAGGAAATACATTCCTTTGGCTATTATATTTTAGTGGAACTTGAATTTTAGGGATTAGTGACATTTTAAAAGCATTCATTCTGATGTATATTATCTAGGAGATTGATAGTTTTATTTTTTTAATTAGGCAGCTAACCTTTTTACTCTCACATAACAGATAAAGAGTCATCAAACTGTTAAAAAAAAGTTTTAAATATAGTGCTTGCTGACATCATCTTTCCGAGAACACTAGTATAAGTGATTTACTATAACAAGATGTTACTTTTCCTGTTGGCAAGTGACATGTAATATTTACAGAGGTCTTGGGTTAAATCCAGCAGAATCATCTCAGATAAATTGATGGTGAAACTAGAATCATTTAACATTTTCTTTCATATGGAGGTAATGTAAACAGTTTTTTAGTTTAAAAGAGGGGAGAGTAGATTTTTATATAGATTTTCTTTAGAGAGTGGATATTTTTATATAGATTTCCTTTAGAGAGCATTCCTTGTAATAGAATATATTCTCCCGAGTTAAGCATCAAGTATTTTCCAGTATATTTTTCACACATGTACTTACCATAGCTGTATATTTAGGACTCTAAGTTAATGTTAATTCCCTCTTATTCTTACGCTTTTCCTTCTTTCAAACCAAAACACTGGGGAAGCATTTAAAATTAGTGTTTCTAACTTTTTCTTCTAATACAGTAAGTTAAGGTAGAGTCTTAAAACAATACTACAGCATCCTACCACTTTTTGTGTAATAAAGGTCTGATCTGAATCTTTTTTTAAAAATTCGTCTTGCCTAGGTTCGAATGGCCTAGGTTCCACCTCTGGCATTCTTTAAGATCCCCTGAGCATTGCTGGGTGTGGCCCAAAAATAAAAACAAAAAATTCTATAAGAGGACCTGAAAAGATAGTATAGCAGGTAGTGCTCTTACCTTGCAAGCAGCCAACCCAGGTTCAGTCCCTGGCACCCTATATGATATTCCACGTCTTGCAGGGGTGATTCCTGAGCACAAAGCCAGGAATAAGCCCCATTCACTGGTGGGTGTGACCCCCTCTCCTGCATCCCCAAAAATTATAATGGAGGGCAAGGGATAAGACTAATGTGGTAGGGCACAGAATTTGATCTCAGAACTGAAGGCAGTATCCCTGAGCACCAGAGTAACACCCAAACATCATCAGCATTGGCTCCTTAAAAAAAAAATAAATCACTTAAATGCTTTTTTGGGGTTGTGGGAGAGGGCACACCTGGCAGGATAAGGGAAACATATGAGATGCTGGGGGTCAGCCTGGCTTGGCTGCATTCAAGGCAAGGGCCCTACCCATTTTACTATCACTCTGGCCCCAGGCATCACTTACATTCTAATGTAACAATTTTTAAATGCCATACGGCAAATTTTTTGTATCCTACTTAAAATGTCATAAGTTCTTAAGTATTAAGTGATCTATTAGTATTGGGGGTTCAGAATTCTAAAACGTCCTTTTTCTTTTAGAAGGTTAGTATTTTATTCCTTTCACTATATTAAACTCCTCAGCTAATTTGTTGAAATAGCTAATCTGCTACCACCCGAAGCACTTTCTGTCGGCACATGGAGGATTACATTTTTAATACTTTATTAGCAAAAGGGATTAATTCAGGATTTGACTCTGCTGATAGTCTGTTTTTCTTGTTTTGTAACTTCCATAATTTTATATATCAGGAACATAAATATTTAAATAAAAGGTTTGAAATGACAGTTACACTTTATCATTCTCTATTTCAGATGATCACAGTCGTGTTAAATTGCAAAATGCTGAAAATGATTATATAAACGCCAGCTTAGTTGACATAGAAGAGGCGCAGAGGAGTTACATCTTAACACAGGCAAGTGCTGTGATTGTTGGGTAGATGTCCAGGTTATGTGGTTGGGTGCTGTAAAACATAACTGAAAGTATGGCTTGACTGTTTTGGGAAACAAAATGCTATGTTAATAGGGGTTTTTTTCCTGCTTATGTAATTGTAGGCTGTATTTTGAAGCTTTGTGTACATTGGATCAAATTAGAGTTTTTTTAGCAGTATGTATTCTGCGAATGGAAATAGTTTAATGAAGTAGCTTCAGTAACTGATGTTCCATGCTAAATTGTTGATAAATCTTTGTTAGTGCTCTGTTGATTCTCCCATTTCTCTTCACATAGCTCTATCATATTAGCAGGCCTTTCATGATTACAGGTCGTCTTTTCTTCCCTGTCTCTGTCACATATTTCAGTGTAGTAATACTGAGATCAGGTGTCCAGGTGAATGTCAAGGAGACCTGTATCAGTCTCTGTCATGTGGTGACCGAATCCAAAACATGCCCTACTCTGAAAATGTGACAGATAGGAGTAGAAAAGAGGACCTGTAATTATGTGCATTCATAATACTTTTAATTAAGCCAGTTTTACAGTTTTAAAATAACTTCTATTTGTAAAAAATATTTAAAAATAGAAAAGAATAACTACCTTAGATCTCTTACCCAACTCCTTAATTAAACCTTGATGTTTCACAGTATCTCATTTTGGTTTTGGTTTCTTTTTCCCCATCCAACCTCAAACAGTATTTTCAACCTTTGTCTTAAGAGGTGCAAACTCTAGATTCAGTTTCTATGCTCAAGTGACCCAATCTCTAATGGATTTTCATTTGCCCATTCACAAATACTGGAGGCCTGTTTTGCAGCGTGTATGGGGGGAGGGTGACATTGTAATAATATAATAGATAATTCAATTAATAGATAAATCGATGATCAACGGGAGGGCCTTTACTTTACTATAATAGATAATTTAAAAACTTGCATCACTGTCACTGTCCTCCCGTTGTTCATCGATTGCTCGAGCGGGCCCAGTAACGTCTCTATCGTGAGACTTGTTGTTACTGTGTTTGGCATATTGAATACGTCACGGGGAGCTTGCCGGGCTTTGCCGTGCGGGAGAGATACTCTCAGTAGCTTGCCGGGCTCTCCGAGAGGGTTGGAGGAATCGAACTCGGGTCGGCCATGTTGGCTGCGTGCAATGCAAAAACGCCCTACCCGCTGTGCTATCGCTCCAGCCCCAAAACTTGCCATAAATAAAATTTACTTAAAAGAAGTAAATTTAATAACAACCATTTTGTAATTTTTTTTAACTTTTTGGGCTAGTGCTGGCAGGTTCAGGGGACAGGGGGTGTCAGGGATTGAATGCAGGCGTGCTGCGTACAAGGCATGCAGATTATTCGCAGTACTATCTTCCAGCCCCAATAACATTGTTTTATGTGTTACATAATTAAAATGTCAGAATAACCCTCTCTGGTAAATACTATTATCTTTATCTTACATAGTAGGACTTTAAAGAAGCCCAGGGACATCAAATAACTTTATCAGACTGATATAACTGGGAAGATGAAACCAGAATTTGAAGCTCTGTAGTCACCTTTGCTCTGTGGCTCATACTCGTTGAGGATCATGGGGGTATACGAGTAAATGGAGTCATGTGAGGGACCAGACTCAGGGCCTCATATAGGTAAGGCAAGTGCTCCTCAGTTCCAGTTCACCATTCACCTCTGCCACTTTGTAGTTGTTGCGACCTTGGGCAAATTACTTAATTCCCAAGCCTCTATCTCTGTATTGTTCATGGGAAGATGTTGAAAGAAAATCATATAGTGACTGGCATTATATAAATTACTGTGGCAAACATCATGTGGGTTGTTGCCAAATCCGTTACTGCTTTTTATTAGTAGTAATAAAGATAATGACCCATTACAGAACATTATAAAGAATATCACCATAAAGAAAATGCCTGTTTAAAACTCTAGTGATTGTGTTTAAACTTCCTGTTGGTTTGGTCTCCATGTCCTGACAGCTGAGCTTATTCAGTTAGATAGAGGGACTCAAGCCTTTCCCTAGTTTTTTATTCTTTCTTACATTTCCCCTTCTCCATAATTTTTCAGGGTATTTTTATCATGGGCATTTCAAATATCACATTATATATCCTGGTGCGAGGGGTTGGATCTGAGTTGGCCACTTGCAGAACAAGCATCTTAAACCATTGTACTGTCTCTCTGGCCCCTACATGTGGATTTGATCCCTGTCATCCTTGGGAAGTGAGGGTTAGGGAGATAGATTAACAGGCTGAACCCAACATCCAGGTTCAGGCAGAGGAGAGAGCCAGGAGCACTGCCTCTGACCCAAAGAAGAAGGAAAAGTGCAAAGTGATACAGAATGTTTCTTAATTCTGGAGACACTATAAAAGCCAGAATAGTTAGGGAAGATTAGCCAGAAGAACACTGCAGTGAGCAGGACATGTGATTTGGCCATGGCCAACCCAGGGATCAGTCCCTGGCACCAATATGTTCCCCAGAGCCCATCGAGAGTGAGTCCCTGAGCACCGTTAGGTATGACCCCAAAATAAAAAAATAATAATGAAATAAAAAATAGAAATTTCCTTACATGATGCAGACCTGGGTTCAGTCCCCAGCACCCCATATTGAGCCCTTGAGCCCATCAGGAGTGATACCTGAGAACAGAGCCGGGAGTAAGTCATGAGCACCACTGGGTGTGGCCCCAGAAAATAGAGAGAAAGAAAAAAATGCTATTCTCCTTGTAGAAATTTACATTTTGTAAGTAAAGAAAGTTGGTATTTCTGGTATTCTTCTATTCCCACTTTGAAAATTAGCAATGCATGTTAGCACATCAAACGTATGTGAATTTGTGTGTGCTTATACATTGAGTTGTGATATTACTGTTAAATAGATAACATCCATTGTTTTTTCCACATAAAGGGAATATCATTTAGTAGGGATTTTCTCACTGCTCTTTTTTACCTTACAGCATTTTCAGAGTAGAGCAAGCAGTAGATTCCGTGCATCAGTTGAGCAGGACAGTCTCCTCACATGTTGGGTTGCAGGTTCTCAGTAGATGTCTAGCATTTTTATATCTTAGAAAATAGTTTTAGTTCAAATAATATTCATAGAGGTTCTGTTTCATACTACTAAATGCTTCACTTCTCTTAATGTGGGGAGTATAACTGCCCTAAAGAGGCGTTTCATTCAATGAATCAGTTTTTTTGTGCGAACCTGACACCCTGGGTGTCTTGACTATCCTACCAGCTCTGACCTTTCCTGGACCACACTGGAAGGGGAACGTGTGTTTTGAGTTATTTTAGTGAGGTCTCATTCATTTTAACCTTCATTTGTTTAAAATTAGGCATGATTTGGGTATAGCTTTGCATCTCTTATCCTTTCTTCTGCCCTACGCTACCATTAAGCAAAATGAGGAGATAATTAAAAGTATATATACTTCTTCCCCTCCCCACCGCCATTCTCACAGGAATATTGTAATATCTGTCATCTCTTTTATGCCTGCCATTGTGGCTGCATACGCCACAGTTTTGTAGAGTAATAGTTTCATAGTGGTTTAGGTACTTTGAAATTCCTGCTTTTCCTAGAAATAGTTTTATAGTTAACTTGGGTTATTTGGCTGCCTAGTAACACACAAGTTTTCCCTTATGTGTTACTTGTCAGTGCCCCATGGAAGCAGAACTCTCTACTATAGAAGCTGGAGAGAAATTTCCCTTGCCGTCCTACTTTGCAATTCAACATATCTGATCAACCAGATATTTCTGCTTGAGATCTCGACTCTGGTTTGCTTACGGCTTATCCATGCGCACTACAGCACCTTCATATGACACTGCTCACATAGCAAAGTGACAGTATCTAAAGCAGTGTCTGATCCCTACCTGACTCTTGTGACAAAATCTTGCCCTGGTACCGTTTCCTACCCAAGCCAGGTTTTCCAGCTCGCTCAGCTCAGAAAGTTACCTGATTGCCTACATAATGTCCTTTTGCCTAGGTAGTAAAAAGTCAGTTTTGATGAGTTATAACCCCATATCCTAACATGTACAGGCATATTTTTTGAAGTCAAGTGTATTTAAAGTCATGATGTAATTCTTTTGGTTCAGTACAGACATGCATTGGAGATAACTGGACTTTATTCTAGATCACCTTAAAGTGGATTATTACAGTAAAGCCAGGTCTCTAAATTTCCTGTCATGTGAATTTTTTTGTTTCCTAATGCATAAGTTAGATTTATACTATACTATCAACTGATGAACAAATGGTAGCGTTCTCTCTAGACAAATCCATGCTTGAAATGTGACACAATGTGCGGGCATGCTGTTGGAAAAATGAAACTTTTTTTGTTCAGTTTCAGGTTGTCACAAAGCTACAGTTGGTAGAAAACACAGAATCTGTGCCATACATTGTTCTCAAACTGAAGCTCTTGGAGAGTTTCCTTGAGCCTTGTACCATCCCTTCTCTTACCCACTTTTCTTCTTTGTTCTGACAGGGCCCACTTCCTAATACAGGTTGTCATTTCTGGCTGATGGTTTGGCAACAAAAAACCAAGGCAATTGTCATGCTAAACCGTGTTGTGGAGAAAGAATCAGTGAGTATTTATTGTTTGCAGCTTAATATTATTTTCTGGATCATTATCTTATATGTGTTTCATATTTTTTTTGAATATTCATTTTGGCTTTTAAAACTAAAAAGCTAGTGGTTAACTTTGTTTTGTTTAAACCAGAATACTTTATCATTTTTATTTCTTTAAATATTTAGTGACAATTATAGTCCATTCAAGATAAAATATAGAATAGAGGGCTGGAGTGATAGCACAGCGGGTAGGGCGTTGGCCTCGCACGTGGCCGACCCGGATTGATTCCCAGTATCCCATATGGTCCCCTGAGCACCGCCAGGAGTAATTCCTGAGTGCAGAGCCAGGAGTAACCCCTGTGCATTGCCGGGTATGACCCAAAAAGCAAAAATAAATAAAAACCCAAAAATACAGAATAGATACTGATGCATAGATCTTTGGAGTCCCTAGGCTTAATTAGAATCATTACACTGTATTAATGGAATGGAAACATTTGGTAAAAGATTTAAATAACAGTGTTTTTATCTCTAAATTATTACCAGTTTTTAGGTTCTGAGGTGGTAACTATGGGAATGTTTGAAGTTATGGTCTAAACACAAAGTTAGTGATACATCTTTAAGTCCTTTAATTTTTGTAGCTCTAGATTTTTTTCTGTCCAACAAGTCCATCTGTTTTCTAAAGCTTAAAATCTTAGACTGCTCTGTTTCTTTAGATTCTTGATTCTTATTTTTATCTAAAGTTTTAGTTGCACACTTTAAACAGTTGCTGGAAAATCTTCTAATCTATATCTGATATGAACTGGCGTTGACATACCTGAATATCAAGCAAAATCAGGATAGTCATTTCTAGGAGTTCTTCATGTCTTGCAGTATGATTTTAAAATTAGTTGACAATGACATTGTCAGTTTTAACTGATGAACAGCATTGTAAGCTAAGTGGTTTATAGGTTTCATTTCTTCTTTTGGAGTATATAGTTGCCTGGGAATGTAGCTCAGTGGCAGAGCATCTGTGTGTGTTGCTGGGGATTTGCTCCCAGCTCTGCCCCTACATTGTCACCACAACAAGCATGTAACCCCTGGTGAGCACCACAACCAACTGTGAACCCTGGACATCACAACAGCAACAAAGGGAAGGGGAAATTATACCTATAAGTAAAAGACAAGCCAGTGGTAATTGGCAGCTATGTGTATTTATGAGTTTTAGATGCAAATGCTTACAAAGATTCAGGCTGAGATTCAAGCTTAGTTATTTTGGGTAAAAATACTTCATAGGTGCTGATGTGGATTTTTTTTTTATTTTATTAAAAGCCCGACTGTGTCTGAATATCTTTAATGATGCTAACAGACATCATTAGTTATTGTTTTGTTTCTCATTAATTAGGGGTTTCAAAATGATGATATTCCTTCTTATGTTTTTGTTGAGATATTTTTATGAAAAGAAGCTTTCTATTCTAAATAGTTGTGCCCCCCCCCCCTTTTTTCTTTTTCTTTTTTTTTATTTTTGGCTTTTTAGGTCACACCTGTGGTGCTCTGGGGTTACTCCTGGCTCTAAACTCAGGAATTATTCCTTGTGGTACCTGGGGACCATATGGGATGCCGGGGATCAAGCCTGTGCCAGATGCATGCAAAGGCAAACACCCTACCCTCTCTACTATTTCTCTGGCGCCAGTTGGCCACTTTTTGAGGAAAAGAGAATTGGAAAGAAAATCAACCAAGGAAAAGAAAATTCTGTGCAGGTGGCCAGTGAGAATTTTGCGGGTGTGTGGGTGGCAGGGTATAAATTACTAATAAAAATACTTGAAAGTGGGTTTTTCCCCCATTTTGTTTGTTGTTCTTTCCCATTCCTTGTTCTGATGATCAGGGACCACACATGTGCTTGGTTGTGGTGCTCACACCCTTAGCCTCAGTATTTGCTGGGGGTCACAGTCTATAGTTGTGGTGCTTGTCCGTATTTTATTGTAGGGCTCAGCAGAGACTACCCAGCTGGCCATGGTATTCTGTCCTTAGAGGGACCATAACTTTTGGTTGCCAGATTCACACTGGTGATGGCTTCTAGTGTCAGAGGCCAAAGGCAAGGGAGCTGTGGAGTTCAAACAGCAGTGCCGTTGGGATTTGACATGACGTTTGTGGCTGCACCAGAGATCAAAATCACAGTGACTTTCTAGTGAGGCAAGTGTCTGAACCACACTGCTCAGCCCCTTTCTGTTTGCTGTAGAGTTTTCTTGGTTGTTTTTAGTTTGGAGCTTACTTCTGGCTTTGTGCTCAGGGATCAATCCTGATGGGGCTCAAGGGATCCAGCCTGGTTCAGCCCCATGCAAGGTAAATGTCCTTCCCTCAGTACTAGCTCTCTGGTCCCTGTTTGCTGTTTGCTGTTTTTTTAAAGTTACACCTTAGCCACATTGTCAGAGCATATAGCATGCTATATCATCTTTCTCATATCCCTTATACAATCTTAGTTCTGCAATTCTGTATGTAGACACACAGAATGTATATTGCTGTCTCTCCACTTCTGGCTTTAGTGCATTCTCTAGCAAGGAAGGACTGAGGCATTATAGCACATGTCCATGACAGTTTATGTGATGTCATAAGACTAAAAAGGAGCTTGGGGAGAAATAAAATCCTTGTCCTCACATTCTTCTTTGAGCATCTTAACTATATTATTCTGCTTTCTTCCTGGATTAAAAAATTGCCATCAAAATCAAATCTACATCTTGTTTTTAAGATTTTATGGTGTGTGAGGCACACTCAGCAGTGCTCCTCCCAGCAGTGCTCGGGGATCCTGTGGTGCTGGATAAACCAGGGCACCTGCATGACAGCCCTTTGAGCTGTCTTCCTGGCGCAAGTCACTTGTTCTTTTTAGTTAATGATTATTCCTCCTTTTTATTTAAATCCCATTAATTGAATCAAAACTTTTTTTTTAAAAAATTACACAGTTTTTATTTGGAGGTTTTGAAGGGAAGGAAGGAGAGAAAGTGAGAGGGGAGAGTAACCTACTCAAAAGAGAGTCCGGGCTTCTCCAAGGGCGGAAAGAGAGCCCCTACACACATCCCAGCAATAGACATGAAAACATTAAAGTACACATCTCTAGAGGGGAGATGTGGGCGACACATGTTCTCAGGTAGCATATGCGCCTCAAAACATTTTTGTGTGGGTCATTCTGGTCCAAATTTTCCACATGAATAGTGTGTTCCTTCAGTTTGTTGTTTCAGGTATTTGGAGGCTGGGGAGTGACAGATTTACACCATCCCCTGTAGTGCTCAGGACTTACTCCTGGCTCTGTGCTCAGGGGTGACTCCTGGAAGTGCTTGGGGGACCTTAGGTGGTGGCAGGAATCAAAGTAGGGTGAGCTGTTTGTAAGGCAAGTGCCTTAATTACATCTGTACTCTATCTCCAGCCCCTACTGCCTCTACTATCTCTCCAGCTCTCAACCCCCTTTTTTTCCTTTTTCACTGTCACTGTCACTGTTCTCCTGTTGTTCATCGATTTGCTCGAGCGGGCCCAGTAACGTCTCCATTGGAGACTTTGTTGTTACTGTGTTTGGCATATTGAATACGTCATGGGTAGCTTGCCAGGCTCTCCGAGAGGGGCGAAGGAATCGAACTCGGGTTGGCCATGTTGGCTGTGTGCAAAGCAAACGCCCTACCGCTGTGCTATTGCTCCAGCCATTTGTATTTGTTGTTACTTGATTGCTTTGGTGTTTGTCTTTGGGACCTAACATACAAATGTTCAGTTTTCTTTGTCAAATTCTGTTATCTAATCTTATTTGTCTTTCTCTATGTAATATGTTGACTATTCTTTGCTTCCCTCTGCATTTGTCACCTTTCTTGCTAATTGTGTTTGTATCTTATTTGTATCTCCTTTTTTTTTTCTTTTGACACCCAGCAATGCTCAGGAGTTACTCTTTGCTATGCAATAGGAATTACTCCTGAAAGTGCTTGGGGGAGCATATTGAATGCTGGGGATGGAACCCAGGTCGGCTGTGTGCAAGGCAAATGGCCTTTCCTGTTGTATTATCATTCCGGCCCTTGTATCTCCATTTCTTTATTTAAAAAAAATTCCTCTTCCTCTTCCTTTTATCTTAATATGTTATTTGCTCTTTAGTCATGCTTTGTTCCTTCCAGTTCATTCCTCTTTCCTGAAGTAATATGTGCTATTTTAATTCTTTTCTATATTTCATCACTTCATGTTTTAGTTCTGATTCTTATGCTGTATTCTCCTGCCATTTAAAAAATATCTTTTAGCACTTTTGAAGTTTTAGTTCATACCAATCCAGAGACTTCTATTGTGTTTATAAGTTTAAGGTGTTTGTGATTTGGAAAAGGAACAATGGCCATAGTTTATAAGTATGCATTTCTGATACTTTTTCCCCCAAATTAAATGACTTTTTCTCTTGCTTTGCTTCAAAGTGATGTCTTCATAATTTGGCTTTGGGAAGATCTTTTTATTGTGAGAATTTTGAATTCCCTATCAGTGGCACTGTAGCACTGTCCTCCCTTGTTCATGGATTTGCTCAAGTGGGCCCAGTAACATTGTAATACATGTTACTGTGTTTGGCATATCAAATACATCATGGATAGCTTGCCAGGCTTTGCCATGCAGGCAAGATACTCTTGGTATCTTGCTGGGCTCTCTGAGAGGGGCAGAGGAATAGAACTCAGGTCAGCCCGTGCAAGGCAAACACCCTACCCGCTGTGCTATTCACCCAGTAGCTCTGTCAAAATGTAACAACTTTTGGTATTGGGACTTATCTTCAGGTTCTTCCTCCTGACTTTAATTGGTAAATATGTGATGTTATTTCTAAATACAAAGTATTTTGTAGCAGATTCATAGGTATTGATGGAAACTTTGTGAAATTAAGTTTTTCCAATACTTTATGAAAGATAAGGTGCTTGCAAAAGTTTGAGTCATTTAAAAGCATAAAGTGAATGCTAATTTGATCTAAAATATTCGTTTTATTCTTTAGAAATGACATTTCTTTTGATAAAAATATGTTTATGATTTTTATGGTATTTAAGTTATGGAAACATTTTGTAAAACTGCTTTTATGTGTTTCTTACCAAAATACATTAAGCATTTCAAATGGTAGTGGAGTGTTCGGAGATTTGGGTACTTAAGATAAAAATAGAGCATGTATGGTATATGGTTTGTTTTTATCTTCCAACTTTTTGTGGTTTTATAGTATCTATAAACTAAAAAATGTATATACGTTACTCTTAAATTCAGGTTAAATGTGCACAGTACTGGCCAACAAAAGACGACCACGAGATGCTGTTCAAAGAAACAGGATTCAGTGTGAAGTTCTTGTCAGAAGATGTGAAGTCATATTATACAGTACATCTACTGCGATTAGAAAATATCAATGTAAGACTTTTCATGCCCAAACGATTGGACTTACTATGAGTTTAAGGATTATTTCTTGTTACTATATTAGAAATTGGTGCCACACATTTAGATAAATTCTAATAATGTATAGTCATAAACTTTCATTTTTAGATTGCTTTTTATATGTGGAAGCTCTCCAAGGACTCTCCAGAAACTAAAATTGTTTGAATTCAGGTTTATATTTGAGGTATAAATATATTTTTAAAATGCTTGATGACTAAGAGAGAGGAACTTAGAATTAGGTCAGCCTGGAATCAAATGCTACCTCTGACTTAATAAAAGTATGTTTTGGACCTGTTCCTTAACCTCATGAAGACCTTTCTTATGTATAAAATGGAGATTAAAATATCTCCTTCTTAGGTTACTGTGTTACTGTGGAGATCAGATGAAGAGAAGAATATGAAGTACCTGACGCAGTTGTTGATATCCGATAAATGACTACTGTTGAGAGTAGCAAGCAGGTCAGCAAGGTAACTGATAAGAACATAGCTAACTCAAGTGATTCACAGCAAAGAATTGTCTTTGTTGAATTAGGAAAAATAGTGAAATTAATTTAGCATGAGGTCTTGAAAACTTTCCCTAGAAGTATGCATGTTGTTTCTTACTACTTGGTCTAGATACATATACATGGTGGATTATGAACCTGCTGTTGTTATAAAGTTAAAGATCATGGCAGTTCTTTCCCCTTTTCTCTTTTGCCTTCTTTATGTTGTAATTAATTGGGATATGTGAGGCCAAAGAAATAGCACAGCATGTAGGGCACTTGCCTTGATCCTGCGTTTGATCCCTAGCACCCATATGATCCCCTGAGCCCAATAGGAATAAGTCCTAAGCACCACTGGATGTAGATCCCCCCCCCGCCAAAAAAAATATTTTTTAAATAATTGTAAAATGTGAAAGAGAGATTTCTGTGATTCTGTTAGAAAATAGGAGAATTAGAACATGGGGATTTGGGTTGTGTTTTGGTTTGCAAAAAAAATATGGCTTCTATAATGTATGAAGACTCTAAAATGAGTTATTTTAATTACTTATTAAGTGAATTAGGTGACTAAGAAGTATATCAACAAATTATTTGTAAAAAGGCAATATACTTAACTACTTTTTACATATTAAAAAATGTCTTGGAGTCTGGAGTGATAGTTCAGCAGGTAGGGTGTTTGCCTTGCATGTAGCTGATCTTAGTTCGATCCCTGTCATCTCAAATGGTTCCCCAAGCACTGCCAGCAGTAGTTCCTGAGTGCAGAGCCAGGAGTAACCTCTTAAGCATAGGCAGGTGTAACCCAAAAAGCAAAAAAAAAAAAAAAAGTGTCTAGGCACTTGCCTTGCATGTAGCCAACCCAGATTTGATATCTCCATACAACCTATGGTTCCTGAACTCCATCAAGAATGATCCCTGAGCACCACCAAGTACCCAAAAGCTGAACAAAAAAATTAAAAATGTCTTTCGTGATCTCTGGGAACAGTTTGTTTTTCTGGGAGAGGAGTGGGGTATTATCACACCCAGCAGTGCTAGGGGCTATTCCCATCACAGTGCTTGGAGATCATTCCTGGTAGTGCTCAGAGACTTTGCGTTGCAGAGGACCAAACCTGGGTGGGACCCGGTATCAAAGCATGCATTCCAGTCCTTTCAATATCTCCCTGGCCCAGTAGATTCTTTTATATTGCATCCTGTAAGTAGATGCTTACTGTGTGCTTTAGGCCTTAATTGACCTTCCCATGACGCTCATAATTAAGCGTATTGTGTGGTCTCAAGTCATCTAAGAAGCCTTGAGGTTGAGAATTATGAGTTATTTATAAATTCCTTACCGCATTTATTTTGCACAACTTTTCTATTTCCGTGTCTTAAGTGGTATTAAGATATATCACTATCTGCTACTGAATTGTCCAGTTCCCCTTCCCAGAAATGACTGTATTGCCACAGACTTCTTGTGGTCTCTGAATCAGCTTCTCTTGTTATTTATCCCAGTTTTTACATCTGGTTGAAATAGGTAAAGAAGGGCATACTCCCCAGCCCCGCATCACCAATTTTTATTTAGGTACCATAATTTACAGCACTGTTAATAATAAAATTTCAGGCATAGTCCAGCACCATACCTACCACCGATGAGTGTCAGTGTCCCTCCACTTATATTCCAAGTTCCTATTCTACTGTACTCCCTTAGCAGACTTTTTTTAAAAAGTGTAATTCTTATAGCCCAATCCACACATTTACAACATTACTAGCCCTTACCTTTTTGATGTGTACACCATTATCTTGGCACCACCAAGTGCCCACGACCCTCCACCAAAGTCTATGAATCATTTCTAGCCTGCCTTATTTTCCTAGCCACCCACTCTCACCTTATTTGGCATTCTCAGTCTGTAATCCAAGGTCAGGGTTTGTGATCTTTTTTTTTTTCTTTTTGGGCCACACCTGGCGATGCTCAAAGGTTCCTCCTGGCTCTGCACTCAGGAATACTCCTGGCGGTGTTTGGGGGACCACATGGGGTGCCGGGGATCGAACCCGGGTCGACCGTGTGCAAGTCAAATGCCCTAGCTGCTGTTCTATCACTCCGGCCCCAGCGTTTGTGATCATTTGATCATTTTCTTTCCATGTTTCTCTGGTATGTGCTGCCAAAACGAGCACAACCACAGATGAGTGAAATCACCTGCTGTTTGTCCTTCTGCCACTGACTTACTTGGATTGACATGATTCTCAGGTTACATCCAAGTTGTGGTCAACTACATTACTTCATTATTGTGGCTGCATAGTATTCCATTGTGTGTATGTACTGCAACTTTGCTAACCATTCCTCTGTCCTTGTCCATGTATTTTTTGGACTAAGCATGTTAGCCAAGTTCATTTGCAAATCTGTTGAGATTTTTGAACTGCAGAGAACCCGTTTCCTTCTGAAGACCTCCAGTATTTTCTGTTGACAGATCTGGGGCCAGAGCTCTCTGTAAGCTCTATTTCTGTTGAAACTTGTAGTCCAATGAGGTAATGAAGCTACATAACAGATGTACTTTCCAATGTCTTGCTTAGAGCCAAGAGTTTAAACTTTTGCCCCTAATTGAAGAGATTTTTTATTTGCTTTCAAAGTAACCCTATGGGGGGAGGGCGGTTGTGGAGAGTACAGCGGGTAGAGCATTTTCCTTGCACACTGCTGACCTGGGTTTGATCCCTGGCATCCCATATGGTCCCCTGAGTACCGCCAGGATTAATTCTTGAGTGTAGAGCCAGGAGTAACCCCTGAGCATTGCCAGTTGTGATTCCCCACCCCCCCAAAAAAAGAAGAAGAACAAGAAGGAATCAATTTTTTAAATAAATACAGAAACAAAGTGACCTTACGGCTTTTGTTAGAAATAGTTGTGAGTTGCCGTTTTGTTTAAGTATAAGGTCTTATAAAGTACTTATTTAACTTTCAGTTTTTCTTCTTAGTTGCCCTTCATGATTTTCTATAATATTTTTGGCCAGCATTTTGTTTATAAAGTTCCAGGAACACCCTTGTAATGCCGTCTTCTATCTCTCCAACCCTATAGATTTGCCCAAAATAGGATGAATGCCTGCGTATCATGATGCCCAACTGGGATTTGATTCAAACTAGTTTAAACAATAGATCCCACATGGACTGGCCTCCTCTTGTCCCTGCCTATTTATATCTCACACATCCTTCAATACCACCTATGACCCAGTTCTTGCTTAGGTCTTAAGTCCATCTGTGACACATTATTTCTAACAGCCTAGATCTTTTTGTTTGGTTTGGTATTGGTTTGGTTTTATTTACCCCTAGCTCTGTAGTCAGGGGATTAAACCAGGGTCAGGTGCATGCACGGCAGGTTTCTTACTCCTGTTCCCCCCTTGCTTTCTCTCCAGCCCCGTGGTCTTTTTATAGTGATTTGCATAATCTAAATGTTAGCATTTTACTGGTTTATTCAATACTTGTACATGAATATATATTTAATCCATTGAGGATTTTCACTACCCTTATGCTCCTTTCTCTCATTCACCAAGTGCCATTATTAAGCATAGTATACCTGTGCGGTTGTTGTAAGACCCACGCATAATCCTTCCACCATACTCTAAAAATTCTCTGTGACAGTGCAGAAATCTAAAAGCTCCCCAGCCTAATCTCTGCCTCCTTGTGTATGTCCACCTCCTCAGACAATCAGGGTTTGTTCTTGTTAAAAGAGTTAATGCTTCTTGGACTGGAGAGGTAGTATAGCAGGTAAGGTGCTTGCCTTGCTGGTACCTATCCTGATTTTGATCCCTAACATCTTATATGGTCTCCCAAGCACTGTCAGGAGTAATACCTCCATGCTGAGCCAGAAGTGACCCCTGAGCATCGCTGGTGTGACCCAAAACCTTTAAAAAGAAAACCAAAAAAAAAAAAAGATTTAATGCTGCTCAAATAGGAACACAAGACCGATGCTTCACTATTCCTCACTTTTCTCTCTTATGAGCTGGTGAGTTTCATTCATCTTTCAAAATGATATTTAGGGGTCTGAGAGATAGAAGTGCTAGTAGTGCACTAGCCTTGCATGCAGCTGACCCACGTTCGATCTTAGGCATTTCATTGTTCCCCTAAGGACCTCCAGGACTAATTCCAAAGTGCAGAGCCAGGAGTAACTCCTGAGCATTGCCAGATGTGGCCCCCCCAAAAAAAATTATTTTCAGTAGCTGTATATCAAACTTGCATAATATAATGAACCTCTCAAGAAATTGACATGGGGCTGAACAGTAACAGCAAGAATTCAAATTTGATATATTAAATCTATTTCATCTATTTAGTAGAGAGGATTGGCATACTGTACTCTTGATATAGAAGAAATTCTAAATGAACAGATTGGGAATATGGAGAGATTTACAACTGATGAGAATTTATTTGGGATTATAGTTAAGGCAATTAGTATAAGTGTTTTTGAAATCATCATATTTGTCAATCATATACCATATGCAGACCAGTATTAGGAATTTTCCATTTATTATTTCATTTCTTTTC